GAGGGTCAGGGCTCTGTGGCCAGGAAGCTCGCCTGTGGCATCTGGATTCTGTATCTTTCTGTGTTGGTGTCTACCGGATTGGAAGTGTAAAGGCAGAGGCTGGGCCTTCCATATTAAAATTTAAAAATAAAAAAAACGTTACCAGCGCACATCCACGCAGCGAGCGTTCTGCATGGGCATGTTAATCAAGTCCGCGATAGCTGCCGTTAAGACTTTTTGGAATTTCTTATTTTATGTAACTCTTCTGGCATTTTTTTTTATTAAATTCTGTATATTCCATCTTAGCCTAGCATCAGTTGTAACATTAAAATTAGGGTAGAAATCTATGAACATAAAGTCATCAGTGAAGTTACAAGACTTAATTAGATAAGGGTATTTAAGATAGTGATTTCTCATCAGACTGGCCTTGCCCATATTAACTTTCCTGCTTTTTTTTTCTTCAGTCTGCATGAAGAAATCAGTGATTTTTATGAATACATGTCTCCAAGACCGGAGGAGGAGAAGATGCGGATGGAGGTGGTGAACAGGATCGAGAGTGTGATTAAGGAGCTCTGGCCCAGCGCGGACGTGAGTACCTGTCTGGGTAGCTGGGTGGTGAAGGCGCTGTCCCTGTGCACAGGCTGGAGAAAGTCTCAGTCCTCACACTCAGGTCTATGTGCGTCTCAACACTTACGGTCCAATTAAATTTTAAAGGCAAATGGTTTCCTCTAGCCTTTAGAATTCGGGGCATCCTAATTTTTTGCAGTGAATCGGATGACTTAGTTAAAACTATTTCTTTGCAGTGCTGAATAGCAATACTAAAGGTAAACTACATTTAGGAATCATTAGTTTACAGAGAAGAAAGACAGATCAGGCCTTCTTGTAGTAGTGTGTTAACTGGATCTGATGTAGGAAAATCCCACTACTGTTTTGTTCCAACCTGCTAGTACAAATGTTATATAATTGTTTATAGCCGAATGAAAATGTCAAGTAGAAATTTCTTATGTCATTAGAAGTTCATTTTCTTAGGCGAACGCAGGCATAAGTCTGTTTTCCTCTCTTGATACTGCTGTTTCCTTCTTTCTGGCCCTTCCTTGTCTCCCTCTACAGACCCACCTAGTGAACAGAACTTTGGCCCAAGATTTCCTCTTTGCTTATTTGTGATTCTTGTTGAAACTAAGTGAATACTTTTTTACGGCCTTTTTTTTTTTTTTTTTGAGGGTCGGTTATACAATTTTGTGCATTCAAAGGAGTTAGAATCCATTACTCTGTATTACGTGGCTTTTCTTTAGACTTTGTCATGGGATGGTGATGGGGGTGCTAGGGAAGTCTCTTTTGTCCAGTTGGCAAAACAGAAAATCTTCGAATAAAATACTGTAGGTGAAGGGAAGGGGGTGATGGTGCGGGGGGGGGGGTCAATTTTATTTTATTGAGCAGCTACTGTGTGGTCACATGGATTCTCCCATGTGCTCCAAGTCCGTGTCTCTCAGCGGCGGGTGAGTTTGCCACTCAGGGTCCCTTGGCAATGTCGGAGACATTTTTGATTATCATTGACTGGTAAGGTGCTCTGGGCATATAGTGGGAAGAGGCCAAGGATGTTCCTAAACATCGTACAATGCACAGGACAGCCCCTCACAGACTGCTGTCTGCCCTGAACGTCAGTCGTGCTGAGGTTGAGAAACCGTAATTTAAATTAATCCTCCTCTGGAGGTGGGGGGTTTTATCCATCTTTTTGTTCCCAGAGGAGAGACATGTACCTGTGATTCCGTTCCCGGGTCCATCTTACCTCCGGGGCCGAACGTTCACCCTTTATTGAAATTCCTTGCCCACCCTGAGCCTTCTGCTGTGCTCCCCGGCCGAGATAGGATGTGTCTGGTTTCACGCCTCAGCGAGACGTTAGGATGACACTGCCGGCTGTTCTCCGTGGAGCTGGCCTGCCGCTGACCCTAACTCAGGGGCCCTCGAGAAGATGCTCGCCTAGGGAACCCGAATTATGCCTTTGTTGAACACGTCTCTGCCTTATAACGGAATACGAGTGACTTGAATATTACTTTTGAAAGTTTTCTATTTCAATCTGTGCATTTGATATTTTAACCTTGTAAGTGTAAAGTATTTTCCTAATGTCTGCGTACGAGAGGTAGCATCCCTGCTTCTGGAAAGCATGGTGTCATAAAAAAAATGCTCTTGGGGCGCCTGGTTTTTCCTTTCATCCTGTTCATTGATTCCCTG